CGATGACTCAAATGGACCTTACCTGTCATAAAGATACCTTAACAGCACTGAAAACAATACAGTGGTTAAGATATACCAGATGCTGGCATTAATGGAATTATGATTGACATTTGGCTATAAAATCTAATCATTTATTTAAAGATTTCATAAGCACAAATGCCCATTCTCTTAAAGTACACATGTCCCTACAGGTCCTTGTGTCACACGGTGTCTGGTGACACCCCAAAAATGCACAATACATGAAGGTCCAGGGTTATAGTCATGAAGAAGGACGCCATGTTGAAATTCCTTGTCGTCTTTTACCCGAATACTTGTCAGGGTGATGAAGGGGTGGGCGCAAAAGGCTAGGGTCCACCCTTGATGGGTTGCACGTGCACCAGAGGGTACACATATATACGCACGCACGCACGCACACACACACACTGGGTACCAAATATGCCAATTAACCTGCATGTCTTTTTACTAAAGGAGGACACCCCCAGCAACATGGGGAGGGTACACATATATACGCACGCACGCACGCACACACACACACCGGGTACCAAATATGCCAATTAACCTGCATGTCTTTTTACTAAAGGAGGACACCCCCAGCAACATGGGGAGAACATGATGCAAACCCCCCCCCCCACACACACACACCACAGGGGTGAGACTTGCACTCTCAAGAGGTGTGAGGCAACAGCGCTTCCCACCGAGCTACTGGGCCACTCCCCCTTTTGCTCATTCAAGTTATGATGGAGGCTTGAGATGCTGTTTGGTCTCAGCGAATCACAGCCCAGGCTACACAGCATCGCACCAGAGTGTTACTTAATGGCACAAGTAAAAACCCACATATTCAGCCTTTCACAACGCTCCCTCTTCCGTTGATGGTGGTTAGACCTCCTGGAGATCGCGGCTTCCAGACCTTCAAAGACATGTGATCGTTTAGAATGTTCCGGTCCATGGCTAGAAGATGGAATACTTGGAATACTTCTGAATAAACCTGTCATAGGCATGATAAATAGCCTGCCTGTGGAAGAGAGAGAGAAATAATGCAAATTAATCTTCAGAAGACACATTACCAAGGTACCCAAAAAAGCTGCTGTCTTGCAAACTCCCCATTTTTTTGAACTGCAAACAAAATTTTAAAAAAATTATTGTAAAGCGAGACACAATAATCACGACAATCCTGCTGAAATTAAATGTTTTATCCAAATTAAAATATGACCCTTTCTAAACAAATACACATAAAAAGTAGACTATAGATGACCCTTCACTCAACAATAATACACACCCGAAATAGACTGGAAGAACTTAACATAAGGATGTATGGAATGGATCAGATTAACTGCAAGGCTCCTTTAACATAATACCTACTGAAGAGGGCCTGCATGACGCTCTGCCTGAGGACACCTACCTGAAGAGCCCTTGCTTGAAGAGGTAGGCGCTGATATGTCCACCATTCAGATAGCGTACCTCACAGCCTGGCCAGATCTCCTGGAGGCTGCGCACGCCCGAGCGGGGGATGTAGGCGTCCTCCTTGGCCTGGACCACGATGACCAGGCTGGGATCCACTGGCACTGAGCAGTGGGGGGGTGGCACATAAAAACTCACTGCCAATAACACTGCAGCTCTGCCTGTTTTCTCTGTAGCACAGCTAGCATTAGATTTTAACCACTGACTAATTAAAAGACAATTTTGCATTATCTTTTTTGCAGGCTCTTTATTGGGATTGTATGATGCGTCATTCATTGCAATTTGTCCTCCCTTAATTTTAATAGCTAACTATAATCATTCAGTGAAACATGACAATGCGGTCAAGCTGATGTAAGCTTGTAAGCTTCTTAATTGTTTTCCAACCCAGTCCTTAGGGACCCCCAAACAGTCCATATTTATGGTCACTCAAAGCTCTGAGAACTCCTGAAACAAATAATCCAATACTCAAGGACAGATAATAACCAGTACAGGTGTGTTGGAAACTGGGAGGGAGCAAAAATGGACTATTCTAGATCAGTGTTTCCCAGTCCAGTCCTCAGAGACCCACAGTCAGTTTATATTTTTGCTCCCTCCGAGCCCCCTACCAGACAGTTCACGTTTTTGCTCCTTCCCAGCTCCGTCTATGGGTCCTCAAGGACAGGATTAGGAAACACTGTTTCAGATGAATATACAGTTGTGCAGGGAGCAGAGTCTCTCACTGTAAAAACCACACAGTCCCCCCTCCGGCATCTCAGAAGCTCAGGCCCCTTTATCCTCAACACAGTATTTCTGTAAGAAGTGACATTACATCAATGTCCAACAGGTGGCTCATTATAGCTAAATCCAGCTGAACCCACAACCACCAGGCACCAGCAGTTGCTGTAACCCTTGGTAAACTGAAGGGAAACATGCTCTTTAAATGTGTGACCTGGCTGTGCCCCGGCATCTCACCTGAGAAGTTGGCAATGTGTGTACACTCGTCCATGACGCCCTTCATGAAGCCCAGGGACTCGTGCTGTAGGGAGCGGTGTGGCTGCCTCTGCTCGGCCACGTTCCTGGCGGTCAGCATGTCCAGGTGAGGCCGGCTGCTGCTCACGGCAGACAGCATGGGATCTAGCCCGCCGCCGCATCCCCGCTCTGGCCATGAGGCCTGTCCGCCGGAGCGCCCCCTGCCCTCGGCACTGAGGGCAGAGGCCTGAGGTGTGGGCATGCTCAGGAAGTCAGCTGGCAGGTCCAGGCCGGAGAGGGTATCGACGCTGCTGGGTGAGTTCTTCACAAAGTCCTGCCCCATCCTAAATGAATCCATCTGTAAAGACAGGGATGGATTCCAGTGAGAATTTGGAAGATAACATTCTCTCTCAACTTGGTGCTCAATGAGTGGTTCACTTTCTAAAAGAATATTGTGGATGTGATACGCTTTTAAAAAAATGTGAGAATGTGGAAAGACAAATTTGAGGTATATCCTGGAGACTAAAACGGACCCTACAATACTCTAGCATCCCAGTGATGCCTGACACAGATCCTGAAGTACCCCGGCATCCCGGTGACACCTGGCAGGCACCTGACAGCACTCTGGCATCCTGGTTACGGCCAACACAGATCCCACAGTACTCTGCCATCCCAGTAACACCTGACACGGACCCCACAGTACTCCAGCATCCCAGTAACACCTGACACGGACCCCACAGTACTCCAGCATCCTGGTGATTTCCTCTTCATACACTGTGTCTGTGGCATACTGCTTCTCCAGCTCCCTCCAGTTCACTGCCTTACTCAGGACTCCCTGTGAAGCGGAAACCTTCGCGATTATCATCATAAAGCAAACAGGGTTTGTTTATAACTAAATATTTATTTACCATTCAGTGTCCTGTACAGAATAAACATACAATGGGAACAGTATTATAACAGTGACTCCAGATTTATTATTGCCAAAATCTATTTTCTATGTTGTATTTTTTTATTATATTCATCTATATTGTTGTACTAATCTATATACTGCTACTGACAAGTTTCTTGTTCTGTACCAAACCAAAACCAATTCCTGTATTTTCCACGTAAAAGAGCTCAGGGCATCTCACCGTAGTAAAAACACCAGACGCCGTGGACCAGGACAGACAGGGCACCAGTGGTATAGGCTTTGGCCAGTTTGTCACTGCTAAAGACGCCATCTGTCAAAGGGCCAGAGTAAGGGGTAATTAGAACAATCTCAGATCAGCGTGATGAATCAAAATCCTGTTTTAGGGTGTAATGCTGTACGAAATGTACGAAATATCATCATTTAACTCAGGGGTGTCAAACTCCAGTCTTGGGGGGCCGGAGCCCTGTGTAACTTAGTTCTTTCCCTGTTCCACCACGAATGATTCAGCTCAAGAGCTGTGTGGTAATTAGCACAAGGAGTTGAATCAGGTGTTAAATGAGGGTGAACCAAAAACTGTGCAGGGCTCCGGCCCCCCAGGACTGGAGTTTGACACCCCTGATTTAACTGAACTAAAATGGAAAACTGAGCTTTTACTTCATATTTAATGTTTTGTTAACTGATGCTTTTACTTTAAACAAACATTTCTTATACACAAATTCGCACAAAGACAAGGCAGGGCCCCTGAAAAATTCTGGCAAACAAACCTCCACCTTTTCCAAACCAAATCTACTGTAATTCATGCTCACACTCACACACTAATGGACGCCCCCTAGAGGCTGAGCCCCCAAAAGTCATCCCCTTGGTCACCCCTAATACGAGCTCATGGGAGTTTTACGTTCATAAAGATGTTCTGAGGGAAGAAGGAAGAATGGTTATCTCCCTGAACCAATCAATCACATTGTAGAGGAGGTGGGTCTAAGACATTTGATTGGTTGGTCCCACCTTCTCTAGTCACTTGGACCCATGTCCACCTCTCTTACGGCAGTGGTTCTCAAACGGGGTGGGGGGCACAGCCCACTAGGGGGCCTCAGCAATGACTGAGGGGGCTTGAAGTTTATTTGAAAAGTGTAAAAAAAAAAATATATATATATATATATATATATATTACATTGGTAAAGATAGGGCTCAGTAGATTACATAAAATTTTTACAGTATATCGATATCTTTTCAAAACAGGACATTTGATGATACTATTTATATTGTATATATTTTGGCGTGTGTTAAAATTAGGGCTCCATTAAAGATTTTAATAGAAACTAATAGTGTTCCTTCCTTGTTGTAAGCAGTGCAAGAGCTTTGATCGTGATGTTACACAGAATCCCAGAATCCACAGCTAAAATAAAACCATTCAGTTAGCGGTTTAAGGGGGGTGTTGTAGGAGGGGAAAGGTGAGCAATCATTATTACTTGGTACATTTAGTTTTAAAACATTGTTAAAAATATCACAGTTTGCAATATTTGTTTTTGAAGCCTTAAAATGAGGGTTTGTTCAGTTGTAAAGCGCATGTTTAATGCCTTTCAGGCTTCTGATTTTAGAAGCATTGTGACACAGTCTCACTGGAACAGGGGATGGAGATGTGACACAGACAGGAAACCAATATACTATGCAAAGGATGTAGTCAAAGTCACTAGCAAGGGTCGAATGACTGAATGGTGTGTGCAGGGGAAGGCAGGCATACGTGCAGACAAGGCGAAAACGAGACACACTCATTCCAAGAGGGGGAATGGGACACACACTCATTCCAAGAGGGGGAATGGGACACACACTCATTCCAAGAGGGGGAATGGGACACACACTCATTCCAAGAGGGGGAATGGAACACACACTCATTCCAAGAGGGGGAATGGAACACACACTTACAGGACTGGGGATCAGGACGATTAGGCACATGGAGCCAAAAAGGAGATTCGGGAGAAGCAGGGGTGCTTAACACTCGGATGTTAGACATAAGTCGGCAATTGCCTGTGTAGAGAAAACTGGCTAGACTGGTTAAGTAGGAGTGGCAATTATCAGAAACTGAAACTAAAATGAGGCACATGTGTTAGTATTCAGGTGAGAGAGACGGGGTGTGGGGGTGTCGCAGCGGTTCGGGACCAAATCCAACCTCACAGCCATTTGGCAAATGGATTATAGGTTTAGGTAATATACTGTTCATGATCACTGACTTTCTGCTTTGGAGCCATATCATACACTTAGAAAAAAAAAGAGTGTTGGTGGACATAGTGGAGTGAAACCTTGTTTGAGTTATGTCCAAAAGAAACTGCATGGTTTGGCAGTGTAACCACAATAAAATCTGTTTATTTTAATGAACACTGGCAATTTTTGTCATTCTTGCAAACATGTTTTCCTGGACACTGGGGTTCTGCGATAAGAGAAAGTTGAGAAGCACTGTCCTGCAGTGATTCATGTCCTTCAAGGGTAAAACAGCAAAGCTCGTCAAGCCTGCAGTTATAACTGCTCTCCTATGGCTGCTGGAAGACATTCCTGAGCTGGGTCGGTGGCCGCAGAGACTCACGTGCCCCCCCATGGAGATGCCCGTCATGCCCAGGGGCCAGTAGCCCTCCCTCTCCAGCCAGTGCAGCAGGGCGGCCGACTCCAGGATGAGGGCCCCGCCCATGACGAACAGGTCGGACACGTTACGCAGACTGGAGCGACTGGATGGACAGTGACACAGAGGACGGAGGGAACGGTGGGAGTCAGCAGGCCACCGGCGGAGAGCTCACAGAAGACAGGCGCACACACAGCACAGGCGCACACACAGCACAGGCGCACACACAGCACAGGCGCACACACAGCACAGGCGCACACACAGCACAGGCGCACACACAGCACACACGCACACACAGCACACGCGCACACACAGCACAGGCACACACACAGCACAGGCACACAGAGCACAGGCACACAGAGCACAGGCACACACAGCACAGGCACACACAGCACAGGCACACATGATGTAAAAGGAGACTGTGTGGCTCCAGTCACTGCATTTCTCTTTAAAGCGCACGTATCAAAAAAAGTCATTTAAAATCATTTAAATCAAAGACTTACATTTGCTCTTTAGGTTTTCTGTATCCATGTAAAATTTCAAGTCAAGAACTTTTCTGCATGTAATAAAGAGCTCAGCATGATTCCCTCAGTAAGCCTTAAGGCCTCTCAGAACAGAGACATCTCTCATGACAAGCGATGAAAATGGTTAAAATGTCAGCGCTATATGCAGAAGGCAAAAGTGTTTAGAGAAACGCTGAGGCTGCGCAACACAGAGACCGTAAGGAAAGCATATTAAATGTTAGAAAAATAAAGCACATCACATGCTATCACAGGCGAGCCTCCTTACATGAGCATGTGACAATGCATTATGTAGTAATAACATATTTTGCAATAACTCAACAAAAATCATAACATAACATCTTCATTAGAAGAATTTCTGGAAATTTTCGGGGGTGTATTTCCCGTAAGTTTCGTGACGCTAAGTAGTTTGTTGTCTCATACTTAAGATGACTTGTTGATTAATGTTTCTCAAAACCCTTTGTAACGAGAGTAACTTCATTACTAAATTAACAAGTGATCCGACGTGCTTGTCACTTTCTATATTGTTCTTTGTTTGAACTTTTGCTTGCTGTTCTGTCACAGTGGCACAGAAAGACACACAAAAACTAATGCTCTTTTTTACACAACGGAATAATAATAATAATGAAAGGTTAATGTTGAAATATAAAATAATACAGGCTATAAATTCGTAACATTTTTTTGTTGAGTTATAACTGTACATAATGCGGCGTTATTACATTAATGTGTTGTTACAGCACAGCCTGTAAATAGTTCTGAGTAAGTATTTCCATGTTTTCAGGTGAAGCTGTTAGAAACATAGATGCTGGTGGATAGCTGCTCCATAAAGGATATAATATGGATTTTCCAGGAGCAGCGATGCCATTCCCGTCTCCTTCATCATCGGTTTGGCCATCAGGGTCCGCCTTCTCCAGAAGAACTGAAACAGAAGCAGCAGCTCTTTGTTAGAGATGATGATCTGTGCAGAACATCAGGATGTAGACCACCAACTCAATAAGGGCCTAAACTGAATGTCTGGCCCTTTGACCGTGTTATACTGGCTAAGTTTATATAGAAGCCTTTAATCATTTCACAAACCCATCAATAAATATTATGCCCTTAAGATGTATTCAAATACATTAGCATTGATATGTTTTATTCCAATTGCTTCCAGGACAGTTTCCATTGGCTTCATAGATAAAAAACATAATGACCTCATGAGGTCAGGAAGCCAATCAGATTCATTGGGGGTACAATCAGTAGACTCACGGTCAGTTCAAACAATCACTAACAGTCATGTCATGAAGTGTGTGGAAGCTGAAAATACCCAAGCTTCAAAAAGTCACCGAGAGGAGTATGGAAAAAAAACAAGCCAGCACATCATCAGCATTCTTTTATTTATTTTTTGTCTTCTTTTGATCGATCAAAGAGAGGGTCTATCCCAATCCTGAGATTAACGTCTCTCCCCACGATTTACGCAGCTCTTCTTATAGTTATTTGATGATCTCCTGATTAATGAGGAAATTACATTTCATTGGTTAACCCACAAATAATTTGACACACCCCTGTCCGACTTACTCCTTTCTGATTGGCTCCCCTTCCTTAGCCCTCAGCTCAGTGTTATTCCAGACGTCCACCCAACGCCAACCCCAGAGTCCTTGATTACCACAAATCAGTGTTTCTGTAACCCATGATTGTTATTTTTTCTACTAATCAATTTACCCTTGATATGGTGCCAGTACTGGTCCAGTCGTCAAAACCATCCTGCCTCACATCTCCTCCAGCCTTTGTCAGAGGACAGTCACTCTGGCATCTACCCCCACCCGCTGTGCCTAGGCAGCTGTCGCCACATGCTCTGGGTCACAATACCCCAACAGCACAATAAGAAACCCACCTCCCTACCTTCACTGAAACTCTACTTCCAGCTTAAAATGGAGCAAATGTCATGCGAAAGGATTAAGTGGGATAAATAGGATAAATGTCAAAAAATAAATGCAACCCAGCCTACTAACATAACAGCTGCTACTTAAACCCTAAACTACTGATACTGACACTAAACATTTCATACTGAAACTTGTATGAAACTGCTACAACTAGTAAGGAATGTGACAGACTTTAAATTATTCTCCTCTGGCTTCTCCCCTCAGCACTGGAGGGAATGGGACACCCTCTGGTCTACCCCCCCCACTGGAGGGAATGGGACACCCTCCAGCTTCCTGTCTGAAGCTGACGTCCTCCATACTCACATGATCCCCAGTTCCGGCGAGGTGAATGCATACTGGCTTAAACTTCTTCCACTTCCTTGGTAGAATGAACTGAAACCTTTGGAAAACAACAAAAGTAAACAATAAAACATAAATAAACTATAAAACCTATTCAATTCCTGACCAGTTAGCCATTAATGAGAAATCTGCTCTGTTTAATCAACCATGAATACTGATTATTTTGTTGAGTTTTATCGATAAATACCAACACCGCCATCAGAACAAGCGCAGCTCTCAGCAGCTTACAAACACTGACATGGTTTCAGATTAAAACACAACTCAGTTACAATCCCATCTGCAATTTATATTGGCTGGTGCTGCACGAACCTGGAAAATTTTCACCAAGAAAATATTGTGATGTGAATTTTTGTGATAAATGTTAAAATGTTAATAAGGCTCAAAAGGAGTGAAAAATTTACCCAAAATAAACTTTAGCAAAATATTACTTGATATTATCCAACATAGTCGGTTAAACAAGTCGGCGATGTTAACGTGAATTGTGCCAACAAATCACTTGCTTTTGCTCAATGTTTTCTCTGTGGAATCCAAAATATTTCCATACAGCTGAAAGTAAACGACTTTTGGTGACCAGTTCTTGTTTGCTTTTCACATCAGTTTTGTTAAATTTGTCACGAACACACCACTCTTTTTGAGTGAGCCCAACAGCAAGGATGAAATGATTATGGTTGTCTGGAACAGTGCATGCAGAGTTCATGCAGAAACATTGGAGGTAAACTTTGCACAGACTTGTGTGTGTATATTTAGGAAACCAATCATATATTTATTTGAAAAGGAGCAAATCATTAAGATTTCAAAGCTTGGCAAGTTTTGTTTCTTGTGAACTTATGGAAACTTTTATGGATCTCCATACTGAAAATCATATTGTGATCCCCCCGGCAGGTGGGGGTAGATGCCAGAGTGACTGTCCTCTGACAAAGGCAGGAGGAGATGTGAGGCAGGATGGTTTTGACGACTGGACCAGTACTGGCACCATATCAAGGGTAAATTGATTAGTAGAAAAATTAGGGCTGCAACAACTAATCGATTTAATCGATTAAAATCGATTATTAAAATAGTTGCCAACTAATTTAATAATCGATTAGTTGGGTCTACGTTATTATACACATAAGTACAGTGGCGACCTCCTAATTTGGGAGCAGTAAGCTAACCAAAGCCGCGGTGGCAGTAAAGTACCATTAAGCTGGATGCCGACCGCCATAAAAGAAAAAAGTAAATGCACATAAACGCCATTTACGCACCTTTTAAATTTACAAAACAGCTTTTACTCACCTTTTTTAAGATCACTAATGTTAATGATATAGTTACCCACCGTTTTTACTGCTGTGCACATAGTTTACCCACCTTAAATTTCTTGTTACCACTACACCACTGCTTCATTTCTTCACGATAGAAATTTATAGTAATATCAAATGTTGACCAGTTTTTGAAGGTCTCGATCTTGTCTTTGAATCAGCCGTATTTGTACTCGTTCTTGTCATGGACTCGGGATTTTATTTCGAGACCATAACTCTGAGAATATTCTTATTAATGAGCCGTTTACTGTCGGATTGGATAACTAATAACTGCAACCAATGGCATTACTGCCGGCCGCGTTACCCGCCCCGTCCCTTCACACACGCACATGTGTTTAAATGAACGCAGGTGAAGTCGTGGTTGTCAACACAATCAGCTATTATGGGGCTAGAAATGCGGCTACATATACCACAACGTGTTTACCCTACCATTCTATTAGGTGGGCGCCCCAAGTTAATTTTATTTAATTTCATTTTCTATATAGCTCCAGATCGCAACAGAAGTCATTTAAGGCTACCTTTCCGATAGAACAGGTTTATATCTTGTCCTTTTATTAAACAAACTAAATAGCCTTATGTTATTTATCTTATTTACAGTTCATCACTGTAGTATGCTGAAACAACTGGACACGTTTTAAAACAAAATTTGCCGCCTGCCGTTCACGGGTTTTTCGTCACCAATCGTCTTATTTGCGTTGCTCAGTAATTTTTAGCGTAAGATGCGGAAAAGGCTTTTTCTTCGCAATAAATGTTTACTTTATTTGTCCGTAATAAATGCAGACAGACTCGCTGGCGTGCTCTCTCCCCCTGTCGTATATGTGTATCAACATTAAATAACATTAGACAATTATTTAATAATATTCTTAGTAGCAGCAGCGGTAGTCTGTGCTTTTACATTAAAAAACTGGAGTACTGAATACATTATCTAAAGCACCATGCTGGTTGCACTTTATAAAACAAGATTTTGTGTATTTCATTACGTTGATTAAGCTGCTACAAATTATTAATTTTTTTTGTATACTCTTAATGCAGCATACATTTGTTTTTCATGTGAGTTGCTGGAAACAACTTTTGTACAAAGACAGACTGGGTTATTAAAAATTGCTGGAAATCAAATAGTTTTTTGCCCCCCCCCCCATCCGATTAATCGATTAAATCGAAAAAGTAATCGACAGATTAATCGATTATCAAAATAATCGTTAGTTGCAGCCCTAAGAAAAATAACAATCATGGGTTACAGAAACACTGATTTGTGGTAATCAAGGAATCTGGGGTTGGCGTTGGGTGGACGTCTGGAATAACACTGAGCTGAGGGCTAAGGAAGGGGAGCCAATCAGAAACGAGTAAGTTGGACAGGGGTGTGTCAAATTATTTGTGGGTTAACCAATGAAATGTAATTTCCTCATTAGTCAAGAGATCATCAAATAACTATAAGAAGAGTTGCGTAAATCATGTGGGGAGAGACGTTAATCTCAGGATTGGGATAGACCCTCTCTTTGATCGATCAAAAGAAGACAAAAAAAAGAACACGGATGACATGCTGGCTTGTTTTTTCCTACAGTGACTTTTTGAAGCTTGGGTATTTTCAACTTCCATAAATCACATTTACAAAAAAATATGGGAGCAAATGGTGTGAGCCTATGGATTAGACTCAAGGCAAAGAAATTGCAACAGTCAGTCTGACTCTGATCTTGGAGGAGGGGCTTCCTGGAGTGGGAGGAGGGGCTTCCTGGGGAAGGAGGAGGGGCTTCCTGGGGAAGGAGGAGGGGCTTACCTGGCCTTCACTGACTCAGCCGGTAAGATGCCAGGCAGGAAATGTTCCAGCGGGGATGTAAAATGACCATTTAGAATCCTGCAGTCATTCTGCTCCTCTATCTGTAGGCAGACAAAGAGGCCATCAGTCCAAAATAGCCCCTCTTGGTAGATCATGCCAGCAAGTGGTGTGCTCCTCACATAGCCAATCAGCTGACACCAAGTGGGAGGGCTTAGAACTTAAGAATTGATTGGATGACCAGAACTTAACTCACAACCAGTCTTAGGAACTTAACCGCAATCCAGGTTTTTATTTGAGATACATTTTAATGCAAATCAGAGGTTCCATTTTCATTGTACATCCATAAAAAGGGTACCTTGTCAATGAAAACCGGGTAATCCTTAGGAACCAAATCCTTACACTTCTCTCTGTCGCCAATAATCTTCCGGAACTCAAATATTCTGCGGTAAGAACGAGCCATAAATAAACATGCAATTAAGGATTTCATAAATGCAGTGCATTAATGACAATTTGTTCAATGCCCCTCTGCATTTCATATAGATAATACAATGTACCCTATGAATTTACACATCTTACCAAGGAAACTTGTTTTGTTTTTAATTATTATAGATCCTAAATAAATGCAACATTTACAGTACTTTAAGCACAATCAATGTAGGAGTTGGCATCAGATGTTTATCGTGGGTCAAAAGTCAACTTCATGGTCACTGTGCATACACAATGAAATGAGCCATAATATCAAATAAAGGTGTGTCGTACGCTGTAACAAACCTCATCACATGTTACTCACACAAAAAAAGGACAGAACAGATTTTCTGTTTTTTTTTAACATATAAATATATCCCCCCCCCCCCCAAAAAAAAAAGACAATTCCCCCTTTCTTCCTGAAGCAAAACCTCAATCATTATTCTGCATTACACAAAGAGCAATATGTTCTTGTGTCTTTTAAGGTTGTTGTTATGGACAGAGTGCAGCAAACCACAGTCATATTTCATGAATGAAATTCACTCACTCTCCTATCAGTCTTAATTATACTGTCCAGGAAAGTAATGCCTATCTTCGTTCTCTGGGTGCACTTATAATTTTTTATGAAAGAAACGTAACCAATCATAAAATGTTTTTATGTGTTTTGAGATGCTAACAGTGTTTAGATCGGAGGGTGTCAAACTCCAGTCCTGGGGGGCCGGAGCCCTACACAGTTTTTGGTTCACCCTCATTTAACACACCTGATTCAACTCCTTGTGCTAATTACCACAAAGCTCTTGAGCTGAATCATTTGTGGTGGAACAGGGAAGGAACTAAGTTACACAGGGCTCCGGCCCTCGAGGACTGGAGTTTGAGACCCCTGGTTTAGATGGAACAGAACCCAAAAAAATATCCATATATTAACCCACTGATGGAACTATATGGAAAATGTTAAGATACAGGCATTTATAATGATACTAATTAACTCAACACAAATTTATAGATCCAGATTTACTGCTTTTCAGTGACTGCCATAATGTAAACATGAGGTCACCATCAAATTAATGTCACAAACTTCAAATCATACTCTCCGGAACACTTTGCAGTACGATCATAAAAAGCATTACCCGCATCTCCTGTATGACATAACAATCAGATCACACAGTACCACTGAATTATAGGATTCAATAAGGGAAGCTGCTGAATGGCTGTACAGTGTCTAAAGAAAAATACAGGCAACAGAATCAAAGCCTGGATAAGACCCAGGACTGAAAACTCGTCGAGTGCAGTGCTACGGTACCTCTTCAGATCCTCTGGCTTTCCCCAACCTTGGATGAAGAGCTTGGTGAGAAGAAGCCTTCTGTAAAACACATCCAGGCGGCTCACACCCATCAGCAAGGACTCGTCACCTACACAAAGGGTACACTCTGTGTTCAATCACATCCAAAACGTAGCCAGAAAGATCCTACAAATGAATAGGCTGATGAAGTTGGTGATGGCTTCAGCCCTAACAGGAGCTCCACAGAATGTCAAGCTGCAAATCAGCTGCAGCACATGTTCCTGGATGGAACAAGTGCCTCACTACCAGCACTCCAGGATGACATATTAATAAAATCACTCCCAGCTTAGCAGTGATTGCTCTATGATGTCATTACCAAATATGACAGATAACTCCAATTGGCTACACCTGCCTCTGTTCCTTACAGGGGATTTATCATGCCAAAAACAAGAGCGACTGAGCCCTGATCTGCCAATGTAGCTTCCCCCTCTAACCAAAAACAACAGGCCTGTCAGATATCGGTCCAAAACAATTGTTTTCATTATGAATTCAAACGGGCCAGCATCCGTGTGCAAAATTGCCAACCTTGAAGCAAGACTACTTCGACAAAACTATTTCACATTGATAGAAAAAAACAATGTTGCAGAAAATGTAACTTAATGACGCGGACAATTAAGTGGTATTAGGATACTCTCGTACTAATGATTTTTAATGAGAACATAAAACCACATATTCATAGGTGACATTGAAAGGTTTTCTTCTGCAAAATGGATTTGTAACACTGCGACAGAGCATTATCGAAGACAAGAACAGCAGATTTAAATAAATGACAATTTAGTAAGATCTCATTTACTTAGCAGCTGACTACCTGATGTAGCAAAAGTAGGTACCAATGAATTAGGTATAAGTTTAAGCTTATCCTTCTCAAAATGTACTTAACTTCACTAACTGAGGCCTTATTATAGAACACAGCAACTCTCAAAGACCTCCGCCATTTATGGACACTTAAACTGTTTTACATGAAAAATAACGTTATAGAGTTGACTTTTAAATAAAAAAGAACAAGTCTATTTTCCACTAAAAGACTTAAAACCATTCTTCCTCTAATCATCATGTTTATTTAAAGGTGTAATCCTGGAGACCCGGATCGGGTCACCTTTGGTGTTTAATCAGTGGACACTTGACAGCATAAACTGGAACGACCTCAGTTTCCTGCCTTCAGAAGTTGTCCGATGTACTGATACTTACAGCGCCAGCTAGTATGGTCAGATCGCTACCTTTCTCATTCAGCCACCGTGTTCCTAATCGCTAGGTTGAAATATCTAAAAAGCACAGCGTCCCGCACGATTATTCATTTAAGACTCCCACAAGGTGTGTCCGTCACTAAGGACGAACTATGAACCATATTCACAACTTACCCTGACCCCGGTGGGCAACAATGAACCAATGGGAACTCGGAAGCGGTCGGCTCCCGGAAGTGCGTCACAGATATGCTTTCCCGGAAGTATACCACGTGACACGGGTAAGCTTAATGGCGGTTGTGAAAGTCTAATTCGTAGATAGAAGCTTTCCTACTAGTGACGAAATGTCCTGACTAACACCAGAGCCTTCGAGATAGCAGAGCTGTCACTCAACTAGATAGCAGAGCTGTCATTCATATTTTTTCTTTTAAACTGTGTTATTGCACAATTTGTGCAGCATTATGCAGTGAGAATCACATATCCCTGAGGTGTAAGATCTGGGTAATTCGCAAGAGGTCAAATTTGATTTCAGGAATAATGTCTCAGTCACTGGAGTCTGACGAGAGCACACCTTTACTAAAAGGTGATGTTGGGAGGTAGGTGAATCCAGGTTTTCTCTACTTAAAACATTGCATGGTATCCTAACCGCATCCATTGACAACACATAATACTGTAACACTTACAAAGTGTAAAATGATATACTATTCATATATCATCCGTATGACGATTTCTTAGTACGTAATCATCTATAGGGCAGTCTTAAGTGTTTGCAATATTATATGTTAATATTTTAATTTTATTGTTTTAAACCGACATGTTTTGCCAGTTAATTGTAATAGACTCGAAAAGATGTGGATTTTTATAAAAGTACGATTGCAGTTTTATAAGCATCGCTTCATTTTGACTAAATTTAACTTTCAGGATATGTAAATAATATCTAACTTTAATTATAAGGTGGAAAACTTAACGAAGCACTTAGCGATATAGTAATACTATGTTATAAACATTTCCTATTGACTACTGTGTCTCACTTCTTAAAAATGATCTTTCTGCCATTAATGTCGATTGTACTAATATTACACCACATCTGCCTTTGCAAGGTAGCGTGGCTTTATGCGAAACGTTTTAACGAAATGTCTTAATTCTATCAAAAGCAGGTTTATGGTTAGTTCTGGTGCTCAGAAAAAAGAAAAACTTCCCCTTTTGGCAGTGGTATTTTCCAGTGTTTTCACAGAAATTACTTTTACAGATGGCACAGCAGTTTAATTCCGAGTATGAGATCAACCTCAGAAAATAATGTGAATAAACACACGGGTACTTGTTACCTGCAGGCTGTAACTTCAGACAGAGAAGCGTCTGATGAGGAACAAGAACAGTAAATAGTGGTATTCTGGAAATGTACCAAAGTAAATGTCCTACCAATCAGCAAATGGTCAGACTCATTACACAGAGAGTCATTTAAAATTTTGCCTGAATACTGGATGGGTAGATTTAATAGGTAAACCTGAGTGGACCTATTGGCAGTGTTTATGTATTGCACTTAGAATGCAGTCAGTCTTACAAGGTTCTCGCCTGGATTTGGCAGATATTTGTGCATTGACTGCATGTTGCATCTGAGTCTGCACACTTAGTGACAAGTTAATGGAATTTCTGATTCCAAAAATGTTTGTATAGTTGTTTTCCCCATAGCCGTCTTGCGGTGATTTCTGGTCGCTCATTGGAAGCTCAGCATAGCAGCCTATATCAGCCCCTTGACAGCTTTGGACCAAACCATCTGCTAAATAAATAAATGTAAACATAAAATGCTCCTCTGATACTCTGCAGTCACTGGCATTGCTGTAGTGTCAAACACAGACTTACAGTTGAGCCTCTTTTCAAATGCATCACATATGAATTAACCGATACATGTAGTATTTCACTGATTGACCGCATGCAGTTGAAGTGTGAAAAACATGAGACCTGCAGCTTCTCTCTGTCATTTCCAGTGATGATATCGCTGAAGATTTGGCTGAGTACAGCAGCCGATGGAAGTCTATCCGAATCATGTACTTTACAATGTTCCTTAGTAGTGTTGGTAAGTGTTTTACAGTACCTTCATTATTTTCCTCACTCCTTATGTCTGCAGTCTGCCTGTCTGAGACATAGATGTTTCATTTCACCTTGGTAAGGCCTCTTGCCCCGTTTGGTTTGGCCGTCTCTCATTCAGCACTGAGGGTTTGGTGTTTGAAGGGGATGGTCCCACCACACCCAGGCAGGAGCAACTTCAGGGAAAAGCTCTCCCCACATTGCTGGCACATTTGAGGCCCCCTGTCCACATCTGGGCCCCTGAATCATCCCCATTTACAACTTAGAAATGAATTCATGTCATGTTCTCTACTGTAATGATGCCAATACTCCCTTTTTCCCCCCATGATTCTTCAGGTTTCTCTATTGTAATAACCTCAATATGGCCCTATCTACAAAAGGTAAGTTCCTGTTGATTTTGCCATGAAATACTTCAAAATACCTAAATATGGTACATTTTAATCTAGGTTTTATTATTTTCTTCTGATAATGTGAAGTATAGTAACTAACTGACAAACACCAATGGAAAAAAATTGAGGTTTTAAAATAAAAAGTAAAATAAAATATCATCCTATTCAGTCTGTACTGAATTTCTTCTTTTGTGTCACTCTAAACGTCTTGACATATAGGTCTTCCTTTCATCTTCAGGTCTGTTGACTGTTTTTCAGGTGAATGTCTTGCTGGGTCAGATATGCTATTAAAAAGGGGGCCAGCTTAACATTTAAGATTGTAGCTCCAACAGGCCATGCTGCATTTAAATGGTCTGTTTTGTCCCCACGATGAATGGCAGCCTCAAAGAAAAAAAAAATCAGTTGTCAGTGTTTGAGATTCCTCTAGAAGTATCAGTATTTCTGCTTTAGTTTGACCTAAAATGTTATTTGATAATGCTGTTATCAGATCAATGAATAGATGGATAAGCAGATTATCCATATTTTAGCTGTTATTGGCTAAATGCCATATATGGTTATTCTATATGAAATCAATGGAGTCCTTCTTACTGGCCATGCTGGATTTGCTTCTTACTGTAAGTAAATAATGTCATTGTACCCAAGAACTCGAGCACCACATTTTTGGTATGTATCTTCTTTAGTTTCTGAGATATGGAGACTAAAATGGGGACGAACCTTTTCTAAAATCTGTTCAGTTGACAATGCCCAAATTAGTTAGACATTTCAATGAGTGCTTCTCCTTTTCACACATTGGTTTTGAAGTCTTTTGTCCCATTTATTTCCTGGCCTTAAATTTTTCCCCCCTTCAGTGTCATCCAGTCGTGCTGTTTAGGGCGAGATTTACTCATGTTATGCTTCCCAACCTTTGTCCTCGTACCCTGACATGCTGCCGTACGAGTGGCTCAGAATGGAGCAGAAAGATATTGCACGCCTGGCCTCATTCGTTGCCTCTGTTATACCACCAAAAACGTCTGTGAGAGAACCGTTTTCAGAACTTCTTCAAAGTGCATACAGGCATGTGTCACTCTTTCCGGTTGTAAGTTTTGTGTCCATTTTACCCTTTTTATTTTTGAAATGATCGCCTGCTTTATGAAACCACAGCCAACTTCTTTGTTCCTCATTAACGTCACATGCATCAACTGCATTGCAGGCAAAAAGTCACTGAAAACAGGAACAAAACAAAGATTTTTACTCATAAAAATATAATCGAAACATGACCTTCAGTGGCTAATGTATTAGATACGCCGAGCTGGTATTGAGTTATTTTGCACCTGTGTTTTGCTGTTAGGTGTAACGAGTCTGGCTATTCAACAGGAGCCTTTTCCACATGGTAGCATAGTTCAACCTTAAGCTCAAATGAAAGGACGTTCCAACTAAGAATTCTGGTTGTGTCATTTAGGAATAACATTGTTTCATTCATAATTTACACTACATTTGAGATACTCTAATGCGTTATACTCAAAACATACTCCACTCCCTCCCAAAAGGAGTTGTGAGTTAACTTTAAGGTTCCTTTCTTTGGCCTGGATGGATTTATTGACCCCCCCCCACCTGAAATCCTTAACGTTTAACTCCATCTTTAGGGATTTCGGACTTTTCAGACAGGAGATTTTAACCCCCTCCCTCTTTTTTAAGAATTACATTTTTAAATTTTCAGGTTAAGGGCCTTTCAGTATGAGATATGGTTACGCTGCCAGTTACAGAATTTGAACCCATGACATTCTGGGTATGTGTTCGAATCTCTGAACTGAATGTTGTGTTTGTCAATGTTACGGCACATCTCCGAAGATGAGCTTGGCTGTTGATGTTCTCTCTGTCTCTGTCTCATGTCCAGGTAGATGACAGTGCTAATGCCAGTTTCCTGGGCTGGGTGGTTGCTGCTTACAGCCTTGGCCAGATGGTGGCATCGCCCATCTTTGGCTGGTGGTCGAATAGAAGGCCCCGGAAAGAGCCTCTGGTGTGCTCCATACTCATCAATGTGGCCGCCAACCTTCTGTATGCCTACGTGCACTTATTCCATTCCAACAGGAAGTACTACATGCTTACTTCCCGGGTCCTCGTCGGCTTTGGTGCAGGTAACGACTGCTTTCTGTTGGGTTTGCAGCTTTGAGGTCATATTACAGGGGCCGGTTTATGTGACATCTCTGCCTACGTGTGATGACTATGTAAATACCCACAGTGCCCTCCGAAGGATGGCATTTTGTCTGATTTGATATTACGCTGTGAATTGGGTTACATAAGCTGTACCCAGGGTTTCGCCTTTTGAGGTGTCAGGGAAAAGCAAGGTGATTAATCTAGGCTGTGTGAGACAGACCCCACTTGTGACGCTCTTGTCTCTGTGCACTTAGGAAACGTGGCTGTTGTTAGATCCTACGTAGCCGGAGCCACGTCCCTGAAGGAGAGGACGAGCGCCATGGCCAACATGAGCGCCTGCCAGGCCCTGGGCTTTATTCTAGGCCCAGGTAGGACCCCGGACACCGGTCACATTGTCACGTCATGCTTCTGCATATTCATGGGGAATAAATGGCTCTTGTCAGGGTGCAGTTGACCTCTGTGGCCTGGGAGGCTATGATGCATGGTTAAAGCCCTGTAATACTACAGTAAGTTTTCCCGATCTGGGGTCCCCAGTAGCCCATCCCATGTGGCACAGAGCTACGTCCTAGATGTTCGTCACAGACGACAAAGAGGGCAATTTAGAGACACAAAATAGCCTAACTCCATATGATTGGACCATGCAGAGACATGGACCATGCCGTCTGCGCACATACAGAGCAGAGGTGGGATTTAAACCCCCCACCCTAGAGGTGTAACGCCACAGCATTGCCCACCTTCTACTGGGATCATGCTGTAGACAAGATCGTTTTTGTGTATGGAGTAAATGTGGGTTAGGGTGTTTCCATCAGAGCCTTTAGACCCCAATAAGGGAACTGAAAATGGCCCCTCTTGCGTTGCAGCCCTTCAGGCCGCTTTGTCCTTCATTGGAGAAGCCGGTGTGTGCTTTAGGCCCATCGACCTGCAGCTGAACATGTACACGACTCCTGCTCTGCTGGCTGCCTTTTTCGGGGTCATCAATATTCTATGTGTCATCCTCATTCTGAGGTGAGGGGCCGGGGCTTTCCGCCGATCCCCCTCAGCCGTGCACGTGCGTGGATTCGCTGCAGATCCTGGGTGTGTCCTGTGTGTCTTAGGGAGCACAGTGTGGACGACGAGGGACGACAGATCAGCGCCATCAACTACACCTCAGAAGGTACGCCAGTCACCGATCAAGGGTTTTACCGGTGGTAGGTTGGTTTTGGTGAAAGCCGTCCAAGGCCGCACACGGCACTAGGCAGGGGTGCCTCTGGGATGGGATGCTGTCCCATTGCAGGGCACGTACCATATTACAAACACCAGTTAGTCTAGCCACATGCCTTTGGACCACATGATAAATTAATCAAGTTACAATTTTGGCTTCCAACTATCATCAATAAAAAATAATCGAGATAAAATATTTCTGCTGCCTTTCCTTTCACAATAATGCTCCTGTTTTTTCTCTCCTTTTTATTTGTTCCTCAGTTGAATTATATTTGAATTTCAAGGAAATCCGCAGTTAAAAAGAGAAGGTTTTAAAAGTTCAGTAAATGCATGATATTTCCAAAGTCAATGAGTAATCGTGTTAAATAACCGTGAACTTGGTATTGACTGATATATTGGTGGATATGATTTTTGCCATGATCAAGAAGCCCTAGTATGATACAGGAAGAACATGGCATACGTAACCAATTTCTCATACTGAACTAATTTCATTCAGTTGTGTGAAAAGGACAAAGGAAGCCTGATCAGATTCTCCATCTGTCTCTTTCTCAGAGAGAGTGGATCTGGTGAATGAAGAAGGGAGCATCGACCAAATCGCCGTGGTGACCTCAAACATCCTCTTCTTCATCATTCTGTTCGTCTTTGCTGTTTTTGAGACGTAAGTCATATTTCACATGTTAGTCTCCAAATTCATGTAATAAACAGAGATGCATATGTAATTTGGTTAAACTGAAAATAATTAACTATAACTATTTGATATTCCAGATACTTTTATAAATGTACAGTCAAGTGTTTATTTTTTTGATTTCATATAGTTAATTTGTTTAGCTATAATTTTATGTCATTTAGATTATGGGCTACGTTTGTGTGTTAGGTAATGATAGATTTTAAAATGCTCAGAAAAACAGTGGATCTTTACGTTTCATTACTTTTAATGTTCTTGGGGGGGAGAAAGAAGGAAAACTTCACAGAAGTTTTAAATTGTGTGGGAACAAAAACATCAAGCAATGAGAAGCCAACATATTCCCCTTGGAATGGGAAGAACTGAGATTAGAGCCCAGGGACAGGCATTAATCCAGCGCCCCTGGGCCAGTATGGGCTTAAGGGACCAACTGTGATATGACCGGTGAACCAGCAACCTTCAGGCGCAGACTGCTAACCCACAGTCACCCTTCGTCTCCTACTTACTTAGATGAATCACACAACGGGCTGACTGCCATTAACACGCAGAGAGTGGACAGGAGCTCCCCCCAGAGTCCCCCCAGAGTTCCCCCAGAGTGCCCCACTCTGCATGGGGGGAGCAGCTTCTTTCCTCACAGTGTGCATCTGATTATTAAGAAACAGCCATTCATGAGTATGATTCGTTTGTCTGGTTATTAAAGTATCAGTGTCCATTGCTCAGTGTGTTGCTTGGCTTGGCTGCCTGTTGTTCTGCTGCTGCAGGATCGCCACACCTTTGTCCATGGACATGTTTGCCTGGACCAGGAAACAGGCTGTACTCTACAACGGCATCATCCTGGCCTGCACTGGCTTTGAGTCCATCTTGGTGTTTCTGTTAGTCAAGATCATATCTGTGAGGTAAGCATCAGCCACCTGGGCTCTGTATGGACAAACGCTGTGGATGCTAGAGTGATGGATGAAGGAACGTCGTATGTGAATCATGGCATCTGAGGATCCTGGTGTTTCGCTTTCAGGATTGGAGAGCGGCCAGTGCTGCTGGGTGGATTAATCATAATATTCTGTGGGTTCTTCATCTTGCTACCCTGGGGAGACGAGTACCCCAAGATCCAGTGGTCAGGTACTGCTGTCTGGGGATGGGGTTTGAAGGTGTATTCGGTGCAGCAACAGAACTGCTAGGTTAGAATTGAACATTTCTAGGAGACCTTGGGAAAGGGTGATACAGTAAAATCCAGTTATAATGGACTTCAAGGGACCTGGCAAAACAGTCCGTTACATCCAGAGTTGCTGTATGCCCAGAACACAACTACAGGACTCTATTTACTCATGCCACACCCCAGCAGACACACTTGTGGTATAGATTATTATATTGTACATGTAGTAACTTTACCTGACCAGATGCGTGACTATTAATAATCTCGACTACGTATCTGCGCTGGATATCACCGGCACGCCACGCGCCTTGTAGGCGGAGCTGCATGTCTGTTATAGCCGAACAGAACTACAGCTAAAAGCGGCCCTGGGGACCAAATTGTTTGTCCGTTATAAGCGAAATTCCGTTATATGTCAGTCTGCTATATCCGATGCTTTTTCTGCATGTTCTTAAAGGCGCGCGACCGGGACCAACGGACCTCGTCCATTATAGACGATATTCCGTTATAAGCGAGTCCACTATAACGGGATTTTACTGTATCCTTTTGAAATTATTATCTTGAAATGGTTTCACCCTGTTATGATGAGCTTCCAATAAAAATCTAACATGCCACCAGTCTGTAATTGTATGTTATGTAATTATGTTCAAGCAGGATGTCATGTGACCACCAAACAATCGGAGACCTGAGTACTTGTTGCCTTGTCTTCCTGTCCGGTCCAATCTCCTCCAATTGGACGCAGACCTCCAGAACAGCTCCTCCCACCAGGGTCTCCCCACTCTGAGGAGAGTCTCTAACTCATCCGAGGATCCAATAGGCTGCCCCCCTGAACAGACTTGGTGCCAGTTCACCCCTGCCATCCAGCTGGCACAATACATCGTATCCGATATCCTCATCGGGGTGGGCTATCCCGCCTGCAACGTCATGTCCTACATCCTCTACTCCAAGATACTCGGCCCAAAGCCCCAGGTTTGGTCATACTTTTAACATCTGATTACATGTCTATCCAAGGGAGATATCACTTAGGCAACTTGGGGTTAAAACACCCTATTCATATTAACACAGGTAGTGTCACATACTGACCGCATATATCAATATTGCTTTTCTGTCTTTACCCTAGAATAGAGGTGCCTAACTCCAGTCCTGGAGGGCCGGAGCCCTGTGTAACTTAGTTCTTTCCCTGTTCCACCATAAATGATTCAGCTCAAGAGCTGTGTGGTAATTAGCACAAGGAGTTGAATCAGGTGTGGGAAACCGGAATCAGGGGAAAACCAGGACTGGAGTTGAGCACCCCTGCTCTAGAAGGACAGAAATGCAGGTCTCTGGAATGTATGTTTTGGTAAAATGAGTTGGGTCTCCGTTGAAGGTGCTGGTAGTGCATTTTCCATGAAGCTGCCAGAGAGCTTTCAGTCAGCAGAGTGAACTTCATGCTAATGGCTGGAGTTCTGTCAGTCACCAGCCGCACCTGGGAGTTAAGGGGCCGGATCTGCTTGCGTGACAGGAGGGTGACCACCTGATCCATGTTAGCGGGGGCACTATGAGCTAGGACAGGGTTTGCAAACTACCATTTCAGTTAAAAAGACCTGGATTTCACTTTAGCACTGAGCTCCTGCTGTGTGCTGATTGGTCAGTCTCCTATAACCATGCATGTGTCACTGGTGTTAATGTGAAACAGCTGGATGAGTCTTTCAGTCAAGGAAACAAACCAGTCAAAGCACAAGAAGAACTGAACTATTAGCCAAGCACAGGAGCCTTTCAGCTTTAAGGTAGTTTGTAGGAGCTGAAATAATTCAGTGTCCCCCAGTGGGTTAGGAGGTCACCCTGTGTGACAGGTAACGGGGTGATGTCGCTCCGACAGGTGACGCTCCACCGGCATGCGCCTGCCACTCTGCCTCCGTTTTCAGCTCAAAGCACCCAGTGTGTTTTTGTTCCTCTGTCCATCTTCCAAATGAATATCCTGGCAGCCAATCCCCTGGCAGCAAAGGCAGCGATACACCCTTGATAGGATGGTGGTGTGTTTCTGTTTGATGTAATAGTACAGAATCCAATGTCTACTCCGGCAGAGTCTGCCATTAACACATGGTTTCTCAGGAGCCAAGCCGGCTAACTCTGCTGCAGGGGTCTGTGACCTAAAGGCATTGACCTCCACCTCCCACTTCTAGGGCGTCTACATGGGCTGGCTCACTGCCTCAGGAAGCGGAGCCAGGACACTGGGCCCTGTGTTTGTGTCCCAGTTCTACACCAACCTGGGCCCGCGCTGGGCCTTCAGCCTCATCTGCGGTATCATGCTGGCAGCCATGCTGCTCCTGCTGTGCACCTACCGCCGCCTCATCGCCTTCTCCCTGCGCTACGGGAGGATGCGGGAATAGCCACGCCCCCACGGCATCCCCATCCCAGAGGCTGCTAACGGACCGGCACCTTCCAGGACTGGGGGATGCTCACCGGGACGCTGAATGTCACGCGATGAGTTTGAATAACGACCACTAACTTTGCTGCCAGATTCCTGATTCCGCCTCATCTCCGGTAAATTTGGGAAAAATCTCAACGTCAAATATTTGACACGACATATCTGATGGTGCTGATGGATCTCGTTTGATTCTGTAAATGTTTGGTATAGTAGGTTCTATAGGACCGGTGACAGTGTGATTGCCTCTATGAAGCTAGCTGATGATCAGTATCTGATAAGGGGAGCCATCTTCACGGTTTATACTGTGGGTGACCCAGAGGACTGGGATCCCTGATGGTTTCTCTTGCTTACCTTTGCCTGGTGATTTCACATTCAAAACCTGAACTAATGTAACATTGCACTAAGTATTAATGGGAGCCTCTTCAGTAAATACAGTACTGTGCAAAAGTCTTAGGCAGCCAAAGAAAGTGACATTTAAATTATCTTTATGTTCATGTAAAACCATGCTATTATGCCTGTCAGAATGTGTAAGCTTAGCCATTCCAAAGCCTCACCTAAATTACCCAATTATTTCCAACACCTATCGAGTACACCTCATATAGCTAATCAATATCTCATTGATATTATATATATATATATATATATAATCTTAATTTGCATATGTTCTAGTGTTTAATTGTGTTTGTTCTGAGAAAAAGTGCACTTACTGGCCAGATAAACCGCTTTAAACATTTCTTTTGACTTTTGCACACTACTGTATAACCAGTAATACAACTATTACAATAGTTTAACCACTGCAGGACTGGTTCTACTTTTTCAGGGGCTCTAGGAAAGGCTTGGGGGGACCCCCCTGCTGAGAGAACTTCCCTCCTGATGCAGGTCATTTGGGGGCCCTGGGAACCTCTCTGTTCTGCCTGTACAGAGTTGGCCCAGGCAAACTAAATGTATGACATTGACACATGAATTGACAAAGTATATTTTAAACTGATATTTTGAAGAAAAAAAATTCTGCTGCTTTTGTGTTTAAAATTAATATAAAATTCATCAAAATCTTTTCCTTGGTCTTCACTTCATATTATTGTTCTTATCATAGCTAACTCAAGGACAGTTTACCTTCAGACATGCTACCAAAATGGCTGCTAACGGCCATGTTTTGTTTTTGAGGAATTACTCTATGTTAGGACACTCTCAGTAAACCCTGTCTTCCTATCCAGGTTGTAGTGCCACCTATCAGGTACTGCAGAGCCCTGCATGAGGGATTATCATGAAGATAAATATGTGGGATTTGGTCCCATGACCCTCCAGGGTAAAAGTTAAAACTCCGTCTCTGACTTTTGTACCTAACACTCCAATCTGTATGAATAACAATTGTAATAACAGTAAACTCCAGTAACTGACATAAGTTATTTCCTCTCAAGAATTCTGACAAAAATATGCATAATTAAAAATAAAGTTTGTTAGGGTGTACAGAAATATGGGGGATAATTAGGGATAATTAACAGCAAATCCACATCTTAAAATACCAAACAAACAACTCTGAATTTTAACTTAGTCTTAACTTTCAAACCTTCACAATTAATTCAATGAATTAATGCAGGGGTGCCCAACTCCAGTCCTGGGGGGCCGGAGCCCTGCACATTTTTGGGTTTCCCCTCATTTAACACCTGATTCAGCTTCTTGTGCTAATTACCACACAGCTCTTGAACTTAATCATTTATGGTGAAACAGGGAAAGAACTAAGTTACACAGGGCTCCGCCCCCCCAGGACTGGAGCTGGGCACCCCTGAATTAATGAATGAACTTAAACAGATCCAGAACCACCAAGAGCTGAGAACAATTAATCTTATCCTTGTCTTTATTTCCAAATCATTCATAGAAATAGTAGTACATGACAAGAACATAAGGTCGTACTTCAGTCGATATCTAATATTTGACACATTGTAGTACGTAAATAAACATACATGATCTGGAACAAGCTCAACAGCACCACCTAGCGGCCCAAAACAAAGCTTCATGGACAGGTTGGCTGCTCCACTGATGGCGTAGCTCTATTTTCTCTGCTAACGAAGTCTGCTTAATAAAGTGAACGCCAGTGACCCCTATTTACCACACCACAACTGGTTCCCAGGACAACTTTTTAATAATAAAAAAAAACAGACCCAGGAACAATTACAAAATATTCCCCCGCAAATTATACCGAACCTTATATTTCAAATATAAAAAAGTGTTTCAGCTTATTGTCAGCACAATATAGTCACAGGCAGCATGAACAACACTGGAAAGGTTTCATTTTAGAACCTGTCTGTCCAGACACAATATAACATATATAAATCTCTCAGTTCAGTAGTTTATCTTTTTTAAATAAACCATCTTCAAAGATCTCCTTCAGAAGCAATAAAACTAAAATATTCTCAATTAACACCTTTTAAGTAAAACAGGTAAAAATTAGCAATTTTTTAGCAACCTTAATCTTAAATATCTGAGTCTTTTATACCCAGTTTGTCATTTGGCTTTTAACATCACCCAAAATAAGAGGAAGCCAACGCCCTTAATCTAACCTAAGAAACCTAAACATCGATTTCATATATACAATTCCTCAAAAAAAAATCAGAAACATTCGACAGTGGTAACAATAGATGGCATGCAAAGTGATGCAGATCTCAAAATTCGAAGCTCTTCAGGTGGGTTTTATTAAAAACGAGTATCTGTCATCACGCCTACAAACTCAAACAGTAATGGCTTGTGAAACCCAACTCTTTCGATGAATAAGGAACACTACGCTTCACTCTTACATGAACACAGCAAAGCTTCTCCGCTCATCAGCTCCTCCCCAAACTAGAGGCTTCGCTGCAGACTAAATGGCATCGTCTCCTCAGAAGTAGATCTGCTTGGCATCCGATGGCACCTGCTCCATTGGACAGTACGGGCACTTCAACCTTAAGAGACACACGAATGGTCAGACACAGGATGCAAAGCAGTTCCGTCTACACAACAGCTGCTAGCTACTGTCTCAAGACTATAAAGCCAGACAGGACAGTGACCCCGCAGACTAATAACCTTGGAAATCTTTTGAGTGATCAGGAATAATTTCCATGTTTAAAATCCTTCACTATTTTAAAAGCTGCACTCAGAATGGGGTGCCAACCCATTGCTGGACGTTATATTAGACCCGTACAACATATATACTTAGAATTGTCATCCATTCCATGCACAGACTGTACTGAGGACATACATCTTGCTTAGATACATAGATAAGCTTAACTTTGAATAAATACACATTCATTGAGTATAAGCATGTAAAACCGCATAATTTTATGGTCTTGGAGAAGCTAGACTTCTTTCAGTCCCCCAGGTATTTTCTTGTTGCCTTTAATAGTTTGACCTCTAAAAATGTGCTTTAATTTAATAATCTTAATACATGTTTTTTTTAAAATGTAAAAATCATGGAGATATGGCTCCCAGCTGGGAGTCCTAAGTCTGTCCCTGACCGTGGGTCTTACTTGCTGCCGTTGATCATTTTGTTGAGGGCGTCTTTGGAGATAATGTGGCCGCACACCAGCTTCATGGGGGGGTTGCTGTCCGTGGTCTGCTGCCTGAGGATGGGGCAAGCGAACACCGAGTGGTACCAGCAACGCTTACCCAGGTCCACCTCGATCTCCACATGCAGAGACGGAGAAGATAGTGCAGTCACACCACAGGCCGCCGTAAGCGGAATGAAGTACTCGGTGATTACTCAGAGTATTCACTCCCACAGGCCGCCGTAAGCGGAATGAAGTACTCGGTGATTACTCAGAGTATTCACTCCCACAGGCCGCCGTAAGCGGAATGAAGTACTCGGTGATTACTCAGAG